GTTTTTCATCGCCGGTTACGACACGACCAGCGCTTCGCTCTCTCATGTCGTCTATTATTTGTCTCAAAACAAAGACAAACAACAGATTCTGAGGGAAGAACTCAACGCTTTGGACACAGACTTCACGTATGAAAACCTAAATCAATGCCAGTATTTGAATGCAGTCATCGATGAGACTCTTAGACTCGCGCCCCCTTTAGGCACTATTCAAAGGGAATGCGTTAAGGAATATAAACTGGGAAATACCGGCACGTATTGAAAAGTTATATAACTACCCTTTGTTACTAAATAACTACATAATCATTTAGCTTAAAACATTGACTTATAAAATATTATTATAACTTTGATTTATGTAATTATTTTAATAGGCATAACAATTCCTGCAGGCACATTCGTAGAATTCCAGCCTTATGTTATACACAGAGACCCTGAATTTTTTCCCGACCCTGATCAATTCAAACCCGAGAGGTTTCTCAACCCAACACACCATCCGTACGCATACCTGCCCTTTGGGTGCGGTCCCCGACATTGCGTTGGTGTGAGGTTTGCCTTAAATGAGATGCGAATGTGTATCGCAAAGATTGTACACAACTTTGAGTTCACACTCGCGCCCGGATTTCAAGTGAGTTTTATCATGATTTATGTTAATATTGTAATTAGTTACTTTTAATTTGAATGCGTTTATATATTTATCATTACATTACAGATTGATTATTTCAACGGATCTGTATTTTTGACTCCTAAACAAGTAATGGTTACAATTACAAATTGTATTAATTGAGAACGCATTATTTTTAAATCTCAAATTAGAATTATTAAATTAGTATTATGGATTTAAATTATCAATATAATATATTATCTTGAGAAGTTATTTTTAACGTTATTTATGAATAATTGGGAAACATTATAATGAGAAATCTAAAACTATCCGAATAGATAGGTTTATTATTTAAAATAATATTTATTTTTAATTTAGTTTTATAATTATCATTTACAAGATTATAAGTTAGATAGATACTGTCCTAATAAACTTAACGAAATATTCATCTATATATTTAAATAAATAAGTATTAGGGTATTATTGCTAAGATTAAGTTCCTAATTTTACAACTAGATTTAATTCTGATACTTCTCTCTCTCTCTCTCTCTCTCATTCACTCTCTCTCTCTCTCTCTCTCTCTCTAAATATTGTGTTAATTATGGGACTATAAAGAACCCAATAAGTCATTAATTAGCTTATATTATTTGTGATCAGTGTGATGTTCACAATAAGTTCACAGATAGATTTTTCATTAAGATAATCTGCCCATGTCCTTATATCAATATTGAAATGAATCATACATTATATTAATTATATAAGAATTTCATTTATGTTTTATAATAATAGTAATGCAATACTTAAATTCAAACATTGTTTTATAATTATGAATAACTCACTTGTTAATCGCATTATGAATTAGACTTTTATATAAATCACTTGAATATTAAACTGTAAATAAGATTTACTGTATATTATTAAATGCACTTAAGATTCTGAATAAATGCTAAGAAATATATTGTTGTGTCCAAAGAATATTATTTATGGAAATCCCAGAATTTACAGTCGTCTCAATATAAATATTAAAAAAGATAGGACCTTCATTAGTAAATTAATTGATTTCTGATGCAAAGGAATGTTACCGTAAATTATAAAATTAATTTCACATTCCTATATAAATTACTCTAGAAATACCGAAAGACTAAGATATATCGATTGAACCAATACACGTACTGTATTTAAACATGACATACAATACAAATAGCCTTTATAAAATAATAATCATTTGCATAAATTGACAATGTTTCAATAGAAATGGAAGTCATTCGACGGCTTTACAGTATTAAATAAAATCAATACTTTTGAAAAAAATTATTTAAAAAAATTATAATTAATTACTAAAACCGATATATTTGTGCGCACGTGATCAAATGCTAAATCAAAAGTTAACTGTACTTTTGGTACTGCTCGACGCCGTGGGACACGTCAACACTGGGGTAGCGCTGGTCGAGACACTACTCACTGCCGGAAATCGGGTTATATTTCTATTGACAGACCGGTGGCGGGCATTGTTGGACATAAAACACCCCAACTCTAGGATCCTGTAAACCACATTATTCATACTGAATTGCGTTTAAATATTTTTAAAACTCTTATTGTACCAATGCTATAGTTATTAGTAATAACTTATTACTAAATACCGCAACTTATATATTTATTGGGCAGACAAAAATAGCACATGTTAATTCAGTTAAATAATAAAGTGTTAAAATTGTTTAATAAATTAATCTAACAGACTTTCAGTAAACTTGAACTGACAATTAAATTACCAGGAATTGGTTTACAATGATAGAATAAAAACAGTGATTATCATGATACAGTCAGAACTCTGTGTTATGAATAGATCGGGTCCAGGGCTTTTTGTTCATAACAAAGAGATGTTCACAACATAGAGGGTATTTTAACATTAAGTCTATGTTAATGTTGTATTGGTTCATAACATAGAGTAGTTCACAGCATAGAAGGTTAACAGTACAGAAGTTTCACTGTAATAGTTATTGTCATTATAACAATACGGAGATATGGATGATCTAGCAAACTTTTATTAAATTCCATATTAATTCTATAGATTAATTACTATTTCTACTAAGGGTTTGCAACTAAAGTACTGGAATTAACTACAGTTTATTGAATAATTATTTTATTATATTTGATATTAAAAATTTCTTATTTTCTCCCTCTTCCACATGGAATCGGATGCGCCGATCACTCCAATCATATTCGTTGCCCTAACTCAGGACATGTCAACATTAATACACAAAAAGACACTTTAATAAAAATAACATTAATAACTATAAATCAATTAATATTATTTAATATATAAATAATTAAAATGAATAATTTATACAACAAACACAATTATATTAACCTATCTATTTATATACAATATGATACACTTTTTCATAAAATAAAAGATTTGATTATTAGACTGTTCCCAAAAATGTAGTCAATGTGGCCAAACTTGAGACCGTCTGGCCAAATGAAATATACCACAATACTTTTTACAAAGTGCACTTTGATTTCATAACATTAATTCCCGGTTGCACTCTGGGCAAGATTTGAACACTACCCTGTATGATATTATTTTAAAACAAACACAACATTAAAACATATTTAAATGCGGAAGTAAATGAAAATAAGGTAGACAGTTAGGGTGACCAGAACGTCCTTTTTTATGGGTTTTGTCCTTTTTTCGACCTCTGAAAACAGAGTAAAAAAGGACGCGTCCTTTTTTTGAATTTTAGTAATTTCAATATAAAAGGATAATATGTTTTAAAATATGGGAAATATCATTGATTGCTATGCACTGTAGATCTGTAAAGCTGTAAAGTTTAGACATTACAGCACACAAACAGTAAATAATAATAATAAAGTAGAAATATATTTTAAAATGTGGTAATTGTTAACAGAAAACTATTATAAAAATCAGATAATTTTGTTTATTAAAAGTATTTTCATTTAAATATTCATTTAAAATGTGTAACAAAACAAAGGAAAATGCATAGGGTTAAAAAAATTTGCGTCCTTTTTTTGTCCTTTTTTAATGACTATTTTATACCAGTCGTCCTTTTTTAAGAGGATTTTTGGTGGTCACCCTATAGACAGTCCTATAAACCTTAATTACAATTGTAAAATAAACTAAATAATTGCTATAAATATAAAACATAATAAATAAATTTTTATAATTTTAAATTAAATATTATGTCAAATATAACTCCGTTTGCATACAAACTATTGGCCGTCGCGTGGATTACAGCCCAACGACAGCTCATTCACGACAACACGTGTTCCCGAACTCAATGGCAAAGCAGTTATGATTTCATTGTTGTCGGCGCCGGAACTGCCGGTGCGATTGTGGCCAACAAACTGAGCGAAAATAAATTGACCATGGTGATATTATTAGAGGCGGGTGGACCGTTAAATGCTATTTTAAATGACATACCTTATGCGATATTCGACCCAGCATTAAACATTCCAGCTAGTGACTGGGTTTATTATAACGAGCCAAACAAACTGTATGGCAAACAGTATGCCGGGGGACGGGTTAAAGAAGCTACCGGTAAAACATTGGGCGGCAGTTCAGCGCATAACGGTATGGGTTTTAATCGGGGTA